GAGAGAGAGAGAGAGAGAGAGAGAGAGAGGAAACACAGTAGGTGGTGTGTGAGTGTGTGTGTTGGAAAGGTCAAATCAGTGGGGGGTGCAGAGGAAAGAAGAGTGATGAAGAGGGCAGAAAGGAAAGGGTTTTGAACTGATAGCAAATGTCACCTCCTCACTTCGGTCTTTTCTCTATTATTTTATATTATTTTTATTTTTATTTTGATTGGGCCCCACAGATAACCCATAACTACAGAGGCCCACCCTTTTGTAGCGCGTAACTTCCGGGCGTAATAAGCCCACTAGGCCCCCCCCCAAACCACTGCCCCCCTCCCTTCTCTCTCTCACACACATCACACACTGCTCCCTCTCTCTCTCCTCTCTAAAATGAATAAATTAAAGTACTAAATTGCAATTAATATAATTAATACTCTTTCCGTTCCAAAATAATTATCTTTTTAGGTTGTTGCCTACATATTAAGAAAATTAATAAATATGTGTGGATTTTAGAAATATACATATAATACGACTAAAATGCCCATGTAATTAATTATATCTCAACTAATCAAGAGTAATAACTAATAAGGGCATAGTTGAGAAAAAAGTAATTCACGTAACAGTGAAATTTTAAAGTTTAATATGAAACAGGGAAAACTCCCCAAAACGACGGTTAATTTGAAACGAAGGGAGTACATAGATGCATCTTTTAATAAGTGTTTATTAATTAATTTGTGTTAATTAAAGAAGGATGATTTTTAATTTAATGGTAGCTCTTCATATTTATGTATTTATTTTAATTTTATATGTAGAGAAAGGAGAGATTGAAATAACAGCCCATATCGGGGGCAATATTTATCTTCCAGCCATACACTGTCATTCTTGTCTCACATATCAATATATCTATATATATGAAAACACACACACACACACACAATTCCTTATATGATCTCTTTAGTGAGTGATGATGATGGGTGTGTGTAAATGTTAATATGCACGCACTGCGCACGTGGCTGCTCTGCAAAACTCACTTGGTTTTTATCACAAATAGCAGTAGGTACCATCCATCTATCCATCCATCATATTACTTTTACCAGCTATGACTCACAGTCTCTCACACACACACACACACACACACACACACACACTCAATACAATCCATCCATCCATCCATCAGTTTTGGTTTGGTCAGTGAACTTTTCACTGTTTACCGTTGAATATGCACTTCCCTACATACATACATCTTTCTATCTCTATCTATCTTTCTTTCTCCAATTTCTGCCCAGTTGCACGTGATTTTGTACAACACATTTCATCGCTATTCAATTTGTATATAATTAAAGTAAATTTGAGAGGTGAAATAAGAGTATTGTTAATAATATAATGAGGGCATGTCACTTGAGTCTTCAAACTCTAGAATAAATAATTTAAAGATTTCAAGTCAAATTTATCTAATTATTTACATGGGCTATGACTTTTAACCGTAAATGGAGCTTAACAGAGTCCCATTAGTCACACGTACATATATGTGTGTATGATTATATGCAGATTTAGTGTTAACAAACACCTAATTGTACTGTCATAACATGATTTATACGTACGGTTTAATGTTTATCATGTCTTTCGCTACCTATCAGTTTTGATAATGAAATTTGTTTAATCCTCAAATTAATAAGTAACACAGCCAATGATAATAAACTACTGCCACGTTGGCACACATGTACAATTAATGGAGATCGATTAATTTACAATCCCATCATTAATATAAAAAGGTATTAAATTCTTAAATTATTCTCTGTTAGGCACTAATGTGTTAATGTAAACGTGCCGTGAAGGGATTATATATATATAGTCGTATAATTAAATGATGAATTATTAAGATTCAATGATTAGGTAGCTTGTAATCTAATAACTAAATTCTAATAAATTAATTAAGACCCCATCATTTGATTTAGCAAACAAGCACAATCCAACACTTGAAACATCAAGCTTGTGCAGAATCTCCAGGCAAGCATGATTTAATTAATTAATGAATTAAAAAAAAAGTGATATGTTTGGTTTTGACTGTCTATAACTTTTCAGGTAGAATTTGTTGTTTTTAGTGCAATTTACATTTCTTGTGTATCGCGGACACAAAAAAAAAGGGCGGACACGGAGAGACGGAAAAATGGTATGCCTCAAAATTGGGATAAGAAAATTTGGAGTAAACGTGTAAATATTAAAAATATAGAGAATATTTATAAATATGCGATATAAACATTTACAAGTTCTTATTTATATATAAATTCTTTTTATGTATTTTCATTCAAACATATTCAAAAAAAAATTACTATCAACAATCAATTGTAATTGATCAGTCAATTATTTAAATAATTTTTTATTTAAACATGTTTTTAACTTTTTAGAAATTGCAAAACAAATCATAAATGTTCAGCAAGTATCCTCGAGTCTCGAACACAAAACGTAACCAAAACACAAAAACATTAAGCAGTTGAACTTTCCGTGTTAACATGCACGAAATGTGGTTTAGTTTGTAAACTAAAATTGTGAAGAATCTCAACCACGGTCAAAAAGTAAGTGAGAAAAAAAAGAAATACTAAAAAGAAAAAGAAAAAGATTAAGAAAAAAAAAACCGGTTTAATTAAATTAAATAAGGGTAATGATATATGCAGGTCAAATTAAACATTCACGCACTTTTTTACCATGATTCTTTACCTTTTTACCATAACTATTTACCTTTTGTACTATTCATATGCACAAAATCGGAC